AAGTCCGTTGAGTCTGCAGTCTTATTTCTGGTAATTGCACGACCTACACTTGTGAACCGAGTGATAGAAGCACGGAATGGTGACCTTAAGATAGAATCCCTCCGGGAGAATATCTCAAGTGGAAAGGTACAGAAAGGCTTAAACGTGTATTCTGACTCGAGTGTTAGATACCTTGACCGTCTTTTTGTGCCGGAGTCTTGCCGAGCGGAAGTACTCCGAGAGTTTCACCATTTACGCCTTGTGGTGCATCCAGGAGGCACAAAGATGTATCGTGACCTTAGTCACCAATTTTGGTGGAGGGGAATGAACAAGGATGTGGGTGTATTTGTATTGAAGTGCCTTACTTGTCAACATATGAAGGCCAAACATCAGAGGCCAACAGATTTGTTGCAACCCTTGCCTATAGCCGAGTGGAAGTGGGAGCACGCCTTGTGGTGCATCCAGGAGGCACAAAGATGTATCGTGACCTTAGTCACCAATTTTGGTGGAGGGGAATGAACAAGGATGTGGGTGTGTTTGTATTGAGGTGCCTTACTTGTCAACATATGAAGGCCAAACATCAGAGGCCAACAGATTTGTTGCAACCCTTGCCTATAGCCGAGTGGAAGTGGGAGCATGTCACGATAGATTTTGTTGTGGGTCTTCCTAGGACGTAACGGAGTAGTGATGCGATTTGGGTGGTAGTTGACCGATTAACCAAGTCGGCGCACTTTATACCTATGCGCGTGAGTGACTAGGTAGATTATCTTACCGACCTTTATATTACAGACATAGTGAGGTTACACAGGGTCCTTGTAACGATTGTTTCGGATAGAGATCCGCATTTCACAACTCGATTTTGGCAGAGCCTACAGAATGCCTTGGACACGAGAATGACTTTTAGTACTGCGTACCATCCTCAGACTGACGGGAAATCCGAGCGTACTATTTAGATCCTTGAGGATATGCTTCAGGATTGTGTTATAGACTTTAAGGGTCCATGGAAGAGGCATTTACCCTTAGTGGAGTTTGCCTATAGTAATAGCTTTCAGTCGAGTATTTTCATGGCACCATTTGAGGCCTTGTATGACCGACCATGTAGATCCCCTGTGTGCTGGGCCGAGATGGGCGATGCACCTTTGTTGGGTCCAGAGTTAGTCCAGGAAATAACGGAGAAAGTTGCACTTATCCATAAAAGGTTAGTTACTGCCCAGAGTCACCAAAAAAGTTATATCGATCGTAGGAGGAGACCTTTGTCTTTTGAGCTAGGAGATCATGTCTTCTTGAAGATATCACCTAAGCGGGGTTTGATGAGATTTGGAAAGAGTGGGAAGTTATCTCCTAGATTTATTGAGTCTTTTGAGATCCTTAAGTGGATTAGAGAGGTAACTTATCGCTTGGCTTTACCGCCACAACTTTCCGGGGTCCATAATGTGTTTCATATTTGTATGCTTCGGAAGTATTAGCCAGATCCATCGTACGTGTTGGATTAGACCGACTTAGAGTTAGATGAGGATGCCTCGTATGAGGAGAGACCGGTGAGAGTCTTGGATACTCAAGACAAAGTCGTGCGAGGCAAGACAATTCCTTTGGTAAAAGTATTGTGGTGACATCACGGAGTTGAAGAAGCCATTTGGGAACATGAGTTGGAAGTCTGTGAGAAGTATCTGGACCTATTTGTTAATGTTTAACCATGTATTGAAACATTTATGATGTTAATGTAATATAAACGTTGTATATGTTTTGGAAATGTGAATTTTATATTCAGTATTGAAAACTTATTTCTCATGTTGATGAGAATGAATAATCGGTGGATGGGTCATGATGTTGGAATTGATTGATTATCATTGTTGTAATTGGTTTAAACATGATTTTAACGTTTGATTTGAAATTTTTGGGACGAAATTCCTTAAGGGGGGGACGTTATAGCGGTCCTGGTTTAGACCCGACCTGTTGATGTTTTGAATCTGAGTTTCATTTGTCTGATTTAGATATTCATACACTCCTTATTTCTCATTGAGTTTGAGTATTGGAGTGTCTTCATTGTGTTTGAAGCAGGTTGGTTGCTAGTTGGTTCAAACTATTGTTGTCCAGGATTTAGCCTCTTTGCTTAAGCGAGCTTTGTGAGCTCCCAGTACTTTTGCAAGCATGCAGAGATACTAGGGCGGTAGTGTTCTTCACTCGAGCAAGACTTCTTGCGCTTGAGCGACGGTCTTCTGTCTGTAAAACTTTTGGGAGTGTGTATTCTGCACTTGAGCGAATCTTCTTGCACTCGAGCGGAACAACTTATTGTGTCTGGTTGCTCGAGCAACAACTCTTGCGCTCGAGTGAACTGTGCGTATATCAGTTCATAAAAAGGCCATTTTACATCATTTTTTCATATATCTCTCTCCAAACTTTCTAAAAACCCTAAGTTGAGACCCTCTCTCTCTAAAACTCACCTTCTCTCTTCTAAAACACTTGGATCCATTGATTTCTTCACCCTATTCTCTTTGAGAAAAATGTAAAGCTCACTTAGAGCTTCGTTTTCGTCCGAGCAAAGTTGGATTTCGACTTCCTTGAGATTTCTCCATTCTCTCCTTGGTCTTCTAGTTTCGAATTAGAGATTCTCTACACTATTTTATGATTTTTAACTTAGCTATTTATTTTTATAGAACCATATTGTGATTTTGAAGAATTTTGAACAAACCTAGGGTTTTGGTTTAAAATCAAAAGAGGGGTTTTCAAATGGTTGTATGAAAAATGGTTGTGGGAGTATAAATGAGGTTTAGTGATAAAATTGTTGATTTTGATACTTGGATTGGATTTTGGAAGAAAAAGAGATTTTAACCTAAATGTTTCAAATATTTATTTGTATAAATAAATAGAATTAATTTGGGAATATGAAATTGAATGGATATTGATGATGATGGCAGAGTTAGATATGTATTATCACTCCCATTTAAGATTTTGAAAAAGTGTAACTTTAATGGAATTTATTTATCTATTTTGGGCTATTGGTGGAGGATAGCTATGATTGTTATAGAAATTGCATGAAGATTAGGTGAATTGATACTAATTTCTCATCTTCGTGCATTGAATATTGTTGCTCATTTAATACATTGCGTATGTAGATGAATTTGAGAAAATGGGTGAATGTTGGAAAGAGGTATGTATCATCAAATTAAGTTGGCCTGTGTGTCTAAGATGAAAGTCCCGAAAAACACGTATATACATGGGTACCGATTCCCGCGGGCGAAATATCCATAAAATGGCAATAGTTGTTCTTGTATAGACTACGTTTACATAGGTGTCGTTTAACGGTTCCTCGCGAACGAAATATCCATGAAAGGTTGTATTGGTTGAGATTTCCCCATTGTTTTCTATTGTAAAAGACATGACTTGAGAATTGAGATATAAACTGAGCATGGCATGGTTTTGGAAAAGACATGTGAAACTTTTTGACATGGGCATTACATATGCATTTCACCCGTATATCTTTGTTAAGATTCATATATTGTATTGGATTATTTCTATTAGGTTTTGGCTCAACCTCTATGGGAAAATCATTTTTAGGTGTTAGTGAGATGCCTCCACCAAGAACTTAGCTTGGGAGGACTGTGCAGCTGAAGGCTCAGTTTGTTATTTTGTCATTTGTATTTAATGTTTATACAAGCCTAAGAATTTATATGTATTAAGGTTAAGACTTACTTTTGATGTAACCACGCATTGTCTTAAAAAGTTGTACCCTTCAAGGCATTTCCATTATCTATTTAACTCCTTCTTCTTATTTTTGTTGTTGACACATGCTATAGATTCAGGAATAGGACTTATGAATGTATATTCGCATGTGCCACCTTTTTTGTATAATTGAATTTCATGAAATGGAAGGATATAGTACTTTGATTTATGTTGTTATTTAATTATCGTTACGGTTGATTTATTATAATTATTTCGGAGTGTTACAATAGAAATTTAAATTTTTTATTCAAGAATTACAGAATTTATACGCGAAATAAAAAAATAAAAAATTGAATGTAATCAACAAAATGAATGTAAACAATAATTAAAAGTAAACAATACACTCATAAAATATGTACAGTCAAAGCAGATGAGATGTGCATTTAAACAATTACATAATTTATACAAAAATTAAAAAACAAAATATAAACAATCGCGGAGATGTATTTTGACACTAAAAAAATAAAAAAATATCATTTTTTTTAAATGTAATTAGGCAGTTAAGTGAGGGAACTACAGAACGTGTAGGTGTATGATTTTTTTTACTATCTAATTTACAAGTGGCGAAAGTTTCAGAAGACTAAAATTGGGCCTCACTTAATAATTACATTAAGTCATGCCTAAATTTGATTTCTTCAAATTTCTACCACGTATAAATTGAATAATAAATAATAATAATAAAAAAACTTTTTTCCTACATCTACACACGTTCTTCATGGCAGTTAACTGCCATAGCCGTTTCAAATTTTGAAAATCAAATTTGTAAGTTTACTTTCAAATGCGAATAATAATATGTTAGACACGTCATGTGTGCATCCTTTTAGTATACAATATGATATGTAAGTTATATATATACTAGCGTATGCCCGTGCCTAAAGGCACGGTGTAAATATTTTTAATATTAAAATGCAGTTATAATCTATAAGTATTATGTTAAAATTTATAAAGTTTGTGTTATTTTTTTAATAAAGATACTAAAAAAATATATTGAAATATATTTCTTCTTAAAAAACTTATAACAATTTTGCTTGTATTACGCGCTCTACAAAACTCAAATAAAATAACAATGGATTTTATACAAAGTGAGTAATTTATTATTTTAGATGAATTTAATTTTTGTTTTTGGTGCTTTTGCACCCTTAACTATACTTTAAATTATTCTCTAACAAAATAAATATATCCACTCCCTATGACAACAAATTAAAGCAAACTTAAGGAGGCAAAAGCACTTGGTTACAGAAAACAAAAGGCCATTAGTTTCATTTTAATGAAATTCGTTGTCTACCTAAAGGAGGATAAAAATAAAAAGAAGAACAAAATAAAATTGGAAAAGCCCACATCCACATAATAATGATTAAGCAGATAAGCAAATCAGTCCTAATTTATATACTCCCAACAACCTTTTTAAACTCTTCTTAAACCCCATATGCATGCAACCTTCTCAAACTCCAACACAACCACCTGAAAATACCAGAAAAAAGGTTAATAATGTGAGAATAAATATAATTTTTGTTTTTGGTGCTTTTGCACCCTTAACTATACTTTAAATTATTCTCTAACAAAATAAATATATCCACTCCCTATGACAATAAATTAAAGCAAACTTAAGGAGGCAAAAGCACTTGGTTACAGAAAACAAAAGGCCATTAGTTTCATTTTAATGAAATTCAGTTGTCTACCTAAAGGAGGATAAAAATAAAAAGAAGAACAAAATAAAATTGGAAAAGCCCACATCCACATAATAATGATTAAGCAGATAAGCAAATCAGTCATAAATTATATACTCCAAACAACCTTCTTAAACCCCATATCAATGCAACCTTCTCAAACTCCAACACAACCACCTGAAAATACCAGAAAAAAGGTTAATAATGTGAGAATAAATATAATTTTTGTTTTTGGTGCTTTTGTGATAAATTGACACCAGCCCAACCCCAATACAAAATGATTAATACCCAGTTGCATTATTGCTGATAAAAGAAAGCTGAACTTCTTTGACAATCAAACTAATGAGCTTTCTCGAATGAATCTCATCCAATATAATAGAGCAATCACCAATCTAACGATTGCAAAGCAATCAGATAATAAAATTACTTATAAAAACTCTATGTATAACACATCAAATCCAACTGTTGATCACATCAAGAGGACAACAATTAAACTATAACTTTCGATTAACATTGACTACCACCAGCAAATACATTCAAATCAAAAACACATGTTTTCATAGCATATTCACACACATTACAGATCTCGATGGAAAATTCACACAGATACTCCAAGATCCATCAAAACAACCAAAGATCCATTACCAAGAAGACAGCAAGGAATTAACCAATGAACACCTCGCAGAAGAGAGAAAATCCAGGAAACAATGCAATGTTCCGAGAATAAAGAAATAAAAAATAAAAAAGGAAAAATGTATAGGTGTAAATCATGAAAAAGCTTAGAAGAATCCATGTGTAATATTGTATACAAAGGGACTCTGTAATCATAAAGAAAGAGAGAGAGAGAGAGAGGGAGAATGAGAACCTGAGATTTGAAGGGAAATCACGATTTCCTCCGAATGTGAAATACAACAGAAAGGGAGCAAAATTACCATGAATGCTCCAAGTAAGCATAGTTTAGGCCAACAGTGTAATTTATCTATATAAAAAAAAAAAGAAATGAAATGTTCACATAATATCTAACTATGAAATGTGATGGTTTTTCAGGGCCATAAAAAAATCAAATTGCTATCACAATAGAAGTCGTGAAGCTCAATGCAGTTTTTCCAATAACCCATACATGATTGGGTTGGGAATTGTTGAAATTTTTCTGTCTCAAATCCCAGACTTTCACAAGCTCTCAATGCTGTCCATTGTTGCAGCATTCATGTAGACCAAAGTTATCATCCCAGTAATATGTTCATACTCATTCAGAAGCTGATTAAAGATACAATTTGTTCTTGAATGGGATTAAAGTAAAATTGAATCAATTTCTGCAGATTGAAGGCTTCAAGGCATTCAAAATGAAAGATTCTTTAATAATTCATCAAGAATTAATGATGCTTCATCAAGATTCAAGTGTGCTCTTGAAGAAAAGCACTCAGCTCAAGAAGCATTCAAATTTTAAGCTCTACAAGGGGATAATCTTCTTGTATCATCTTTACATACATCAAAGGTAAGTTTTTAATTAATTTATGGGCTGGAACAATTTAAAGTTCTAAAATTTTTTAAAACATATGTTTCCACTTGGAATTAGATTTGAATAGATAGTTGTAAGCCTTATTGACTACAATACGAAATAGTAATCAATAAAATGAACCTAGATAACATATTTACTAACCCGCAGCTCCAAGCATCTCCTGCAGAATAAAAATAAAAACATTATTAGTGATCAGAGACGTATGAGCTTTAGAACATGGGAGTGAACAATAATGCATCTGTCACCTTAGTCATACAGTCATTAACACTGGATGATCTTGCACAACCTGACTTCAGCACCAAAAATCCTAAGTTTCATACATAAACATCATATTAAAATCATTCTTAGGGGGAAAAAACTACAAATTTAGTTGGAAGTGCAAGTTGAACAACAATGGAAATAAGATATATACCCACTTCATAGTTCATATACTGGATAATTAAAATCTTCATAGGCCAGAGAAGAATTAAAAAAAAAAAAAACCCCAAAACTTTGGAAGAGATTGCGATAAGAAAATACCGAAGAAGAAGGTTGAGAAACAGAGGATCCAAGGTGTGCTTTAGGATGTCCCCCTTCCTGTGCCCAAACTGATGGAAGTAAACTGATGGAGAGGAAACCGAATCTGTGGTTGAAGGAGAGCAGTAAACATGGAAATAAGATATATACCCACTTTGTAATCACTATTTTTTCTGTTCATAGTTCATATACTGGATAATTAAAATCTTCATAGGCCAGAGAAGAATTAAAAAAAAAAAACCCTAAAACTTTGGAAGAGATTGCGATCAGAAAATACCGAAGAAGAAGGTTGAGAAACAGAGGATCCAAGGTGTGCTTTAGGATATCCCCCTTCCTATGCCCAAACTGATGGAAGTAAACTGATGGAGACGAAACCGAATCTGTGGTTGAAGGAGAGCAGTAAACTGATGGAAGTAAACTGATGGAGACGAAACCGAATCTGTGGTTGAGGGAGAGCAGTTTCGGGAAGAAGAAGAACGGGGAGAGAGAGAGAGAGAGAGAGAGAGAGGGATGGAGGGGAGACGTGATTTGGCTGGAGATCAAAGAGATAAAGATAGAAGGGTGGGGAGACGTGGCTAAGGAGGAGGCATGTTTGGGCGGGAAGGTATATATTTAGGATTGATATAAAATTAAAGGGTTATCTGAGCCATTCATGTGAATACACCAATGAATCCTGACTCTTGAAATGTCCTAGTAGGACAATTGTGTCTAACACATTTTCAAAATCCGTACTGCTTTATTATATAGATATATATATATATAATAAATACCATGGAAGTAATTTTAAATTGAGTCATGCCTAAATTTGATTTCTTCAAATTTCTACCACGTATAAATTGAATAATAAATAATAATAATAAAAAAACTTTTTTCCTACATCTACACACGTTCTTCATGGCAGTTAACTGCCATAGCCGTTTCAAATTTTGAAAATCAAATTTGTAAGTTTACTTTCAAATGCGAATAATAATATGTTACACACGTCGTGTGTGCACCCTTTTAGTATACAATATGATATGTAAGTTATATATATATATAATAAATACCATGGAAGTAATTTTAAATTGGATTAATAAGTTGTTTTGGTGTAAAATAGAGAATGCAAGATCAGAGAAGCATGAGATATATATTTCTAAAACTAAATAGCCATTAGTATCCTTCACAAACCCATAGTTTTCTCTTAATTCCATCTGTAGATGGCAAATAGAGCTGATTGCTACCTTATGATTTCAAAAATTGCCACATTAGCACTAAGCATTCCTACATTTTCATTCCTAATTTCACTTTTTTCAAGTTGTAATATTAAGTGAAGAGACTAAAATAAGATTTTAGTAAAGTGCAATGACTAAATTGAGATTCTAATGATAGTGTCGGGTGCAAATGAAAAAAAAAAGGTCACATTAAGCTCACATGATAAGTTTTGTCACCCGTAGTAACTATAGATTAATGAAATGATCACTTTGTAACTTGACTTATAGTGTAGGGTTGATCGTTATAATTAAAAATGAAGAGACAAAAATGAGATTACAATGAAAGTACAGGGGTGCTAAGTGTAATAAACTCTATTAGTTATTAATTATCTCTAAACTGTATAAACTCAATGCGTGTACAATTCAGATAAACTCTATTAGTTATTAATTATCTCTAAACTATATTTTTTATTATTATTATTATTATCAAATATTATATGATTTAGTTGGACTATTTTGATTTTAGGACATTTAATTTGATTAACCATAAAGAAAGCAATTACTTAATCACAACATTTTTTTTATTTTTATAATAATAATGAACCTATTAATTTTATTTTTTAAAATCGAACTTATATCCAAAAAAATTACTACGAATGATAATCTTTAGTTTAGATTGGACTTTTATATGGTGGGAAAAATGAAAAAGTTTTTCATAAAAATATGAGTTTAAAATCCACATCATAATATATACATAATTTATTTTTATTTTATTTTTTTGGTTTTATTTGTTTTTTTTTTTCAATCAACTTGATCAACAAAATAGAAATGTGAATTTTTTATTCAAGAATTTTTTACGTGATATAAAAAAAAATTGAATGTAATCAACAAAATGAATATAAACAATAATTAAAAATAAACAAAACACTCATAAAATATGTACTCTCAAAGCAGATGAGATGTACCACCCATTTTTCTTAAACAATTACAGAATTTATACAAAAATTAAAAAATAAAAAATAAACAATAATTGAGATGTATTTTGACACTAAAAAATAATTAAATATCATTTTTTTTTTAAAAAAAAATGCAATTGGGCAGTTAAGTGAGGAACTGCACAACGTGTAGGTGTAGAATTTTATTTTATTATTTATTTTATTATCTAATTTACAGGTAGCAAAAGTTTCAGGAGACCAAGGCCTCACTTAATAGATAATATAGATATCATTTTTTTTTATTAAATAGTTACAAAATTTATACTTAAAAATAAATAAATAAACAAACAAACACTAATAGAACACTTACAATAGAAGCAGATTGATGGTGTTAGACAACTCCTTGAAAAGTTACCCAAAAAAAATATTATAATCCGACAAAGAGAGGAAGAGTCATCCCAATACGTGTCTTTTGGATATTTTAAACGATGTGCATCAGTGTTGGCACAAATTGAACCCAATTTATGGTCTTTTGTAAGTTAAATCTAAAGTCACTTAGAGGTGATTGCATAAGTCAGATATTGTGTAAGATCAGTTAGTGATAGTACATGAGAACCATGGTATGCTTAAAAATTAAAGATTTATTAGCAGTACAGTACTAATAATTGCTATTTTAAGGAAAATCATTTCCCTACTTAAAATCTTGATAAGGAATAATTGATAAGGAATCATCTGTATAATTTGATAAGGAATCATCTGTATATTAAGGGGAAGACATGCTCTAAGATGATGTATGGAGAAATATTTTGAAAAAAAATTGGAGAAAGGAGTTTCAGTTAAGAAAAAATTTAGAAAGAATTGGAAGAAGAAAAAGAAAAAAAACAAAAACAAAAAAACTTTACAATACTTAATCCGTATTTTACATACCAATAATATAAAAACAAATTATATGGAAAAAAAAATACCTGATAATGTTTATTTATATATTTTTACTTGAGAAACAGTCGTTTTCAAAATTAACAAAATAGTTCATGTTAAAAATAAAAACAACAATAATTTGATTAAGAAAATTAAAGTGAGCAACTTTACTAGGAAAAAGACAACAGAAATGTGCGAACCTGTCAAGGTACGGGGTAAGTGTTGTCACAGCACCATGTTGTGACAGCTAAACGAGGACGTTTAATTTATTTTAAAAAAACAAAAAACAAAACTGAATCACACGCAGAACGGCACCTCCTTTGCTGTAGAACAACATTTAGGTTTAGGTTGACTTTAGCAAAAGCTTAAAAAAAATAAAAATAAAAATAAAAAGTTTGAATCACACGCAGGCTACTGTAACTGTCACACCCCGAACCCGCCCCTAAAAGTTCGGGCATGACCTATGCAGACATGGGCATTAAACCTGATATACACAATATAGGGGCCTGAACGTAAGCGTAAAAAAAAAAAAAAAAAAAACAAACTCCATTGAGCCATGACTATCATGCCAGGATCACAGACATCATCACAAATAATACTCTACCAAAACATGCCTCCGAGCATAGATTACATACATACATACATACATACATACAGATCCAGCCCTAGGATTGGGCATAAGATAAAAATATTAATTAATTACAGACAACCCAAGACAGGTGGTTAGACTACAAAACTTGACGAAAGTCTACAAAAATGGGACGGATCCACATAAGTGCCTGAACATAACAGGTTGACAAAAGTAAACGAGCTTCAGGAGTTAAGACTGGCTCCCAGGTTGATTACCTATAGAAACAGATAAATGCGAAGTGAGCGAAGCTCAGTGAATAATAATACCAAGATAATTCAATGCGTAAGTTAAATCATAACTCGTATATGACTGCAGAGCTCATAAGGGTAGTCCAATGCTACGTTACTTTCAGACTGGCCTTAAGCCCAAAATTAACAGAACGGCCCTTGGCCCAGAAATGATAGAATGGCCATTGGCCCAAAAATGACAGAATGGCCATTGGCCCAGAAATAACAGAATGGCCCTCGGCCCAGAATGCTTCAGTTGTGCACAATTTCCTTTCACATTTACATTCTCATCACGTTTCAATCAAGTTTATGTAGTGTAGGAACTTACGGAAAACATACGGAAAACGAAACATTGCTAACGGTAGGCATTAACGGAAAATGAATACATATTCCTTGCACTATTACTCACAGTGTGGTGGCGGGACGCGATTTCCTCCTGGAGTGTGCCCTACACACACATAGAACTCACAAGTTAGTTCAATGTCTTCTTACATTCGTTTTTCAGTCGTTAACTTCCAGTAAATAAAGGAACGCTGTAACAATTTCAAATACTCATTTCACACATTCCAGAGGGTCAAACAGGTCAAAAGAAGCAAACCATGTTTTTCAACATGGGCCGCACGTGCGGCTGTGAGCCCCACACGTGCGGCAAATCCTCCCGCACGTGTGGCAGTGATGCCCCGCACGTGCCTTTTAGACAGTGTCCAACCCAAAATTTTGCCCCAATTGCCGCACCTGCGGTAGTGACTCCCGCACGTGCGGCGATTCTGCCCAAAACCTGTCCGAAATTCTTCAAAAATCCAACTTTTTGGTAGCATCAACAAGGGTTAAAATGGATCTTTAAATGCTTAAAATATGGTTCAAATATCATGTGATTTAAGAGG